GGTAAGAAATGAAATTCGTATATATATATATGTAATAAGAAAAATGAAATAGAATCAGAAAATTCAAATTATTATTAACAAAATCCCTTGATTGTTGTCATCCTCGTTTACTCTGTCTTTAATTTTCGTGCATACCACATACATACAAACACGCACACACAAACACACATACACATACACGCACACATACACAGACTTAAACAAACACATACAATTTAAGGATGGATATGAAACCTGCAAAAAATGTTATATTATTCAGCATATTTAAATTAATAGCACTATTTACAAGCGATAAAGCAATGCAGTTTTTCCCTTTCATTAATATGGCCTCAATTTTGAAAGTTTCGAAATTGAAACGAAACGAAACAAAGTCGTGAAAAAATGTCGCCGAAGATTTGCATAAATGCATCACTTTTTAAAATGCAATATGGCAGCTGAAATAAAATTATTCAGTATAAAGGAAAGAAGTAATGACGTTGATTATTGTCAATGATCAATCAGATTTTACAATCAGTTTTTTTCCCATTTCAGTGCTTTAAATTTTTGATTTTATTATGCTTGAAGATTGAATATTGTGAAAATCATCAACTGAGAACATAATTCATTTGGCAGCTGCCTTCATCACATTATATGTCATATGAGAAAATAATGAAATTATGCCTAATTTAGCCACAAATATAAACATTAGCAAGAAATTTCAAAACTAAGCTTTAGGATGGATATGGAGTCCGAAGGAAAGCTTTCATGTTATTATTCAGCATGAATAAATTAATAGCATTAATTACAAACGATAAAGTAATGCAGTTTTTCCCTCTCATCAATATGGCCTCAATTTCGAAAGTTTCGAAACTGAAACGAAACAAAACAAAACTGTAAAAAATGCCGTAAAAGATTTGCATAAATTAATCATTTCCCACAATGCAATACGCAGCTGAAATAAAATTATTCAGTATAAGGGATTAAATAGTGACTGCTATTATTGCATTATTACACGTGAATAAAAGTTATCGATACATGTGGACAGCCACTCCCATCGAAATTAATACCTATATATGTGATCATCTACCAATACCTAACACAATTGGTTGGGTGGTATCTGTTAAATTGCCTTCCGTAAAATTTTGTTTAGTAAATTCTAGTTTATTTATTTCGACAGAGAATGACAGCTGCTTTTCAAAGTTTTGGTTGTGAGATTTTAGGACTCCACGACAAATATATAAATAAATAATCTGTTTTTTAAACAACTTATATTTTTATCAAATTTGTAACAGTGCAAATTTGCACAAAATCTGCTTTGGAATATCTATGGCCAATCTCTAGATGAATAAATTGTTGTGTTTGACGATTGAATAAAGGGTGTTCATGCTATGCAAACAATGAATGCGTACCAATTTCATTTTCAGCACTAATATATTTAGAAAAGTATATGCTTGACAAAGTTTTGCGCAATTGTCAAACATAAGACGGTGTTGTTTGTTATAAGCAACCATTCAGTATACTAGTAAATTTGGATATTTTTTTCAGAATTGCCAAAAAATAACTCTCATCAATACGCATTTCATCTGCTTCATTTTCTTCTTCCAACTGGGTGACACTTAAACTATCGTAAGTTCATTCAAAGTTACAGAATATAAGGTAGCACTGAAATATTTCTAAGGTTTTGAACATTTAGTGTAGTTTAAAATTGATAACTTCATATAATTTGAGGAGTCGCAAACAGAATTGATCAGAATGACGCAAGCTCGTTGAAGCCACCAATTCAAGAAGTTAGTAGAGAACAAACAAGTACAGGAATAAATCAAAAGAAAATCTGGCTTAAGAGGTATCAAAATGAAACGTCCAACATCCAAACAATCAAAAGGAAAGAGTCCAAAGGAAACAAAGGTAACATCAAAAGAAAACAACAAGAGCGTACGACTCACACAGGTGAAAAGCGGTTCAAATGCGACATGCACGACGGGCTTCGTTAAGTCATCGGCTCTGCATAGACATGTGATGATTCATACCGGTATTAACCCATTCTCTTGTCTGAAATGCAAGAAGAGTTTCAACCAGAGAGGGAACCTGCGTACACATATGAAGATTTACGCTGGTGAGAGGCCGTTCTCTTGTTCGAGATGTGGGAAGAAGTTTACCGATCAATCGGGTCGGGTTAGATATATGATGACTCATACTGGTGAAAAACCGCACGCTTGTTCGGGATGCAATAGAAGTTTCACCCATTTAGGAAATCTGCGTAGACAAATGAGGATTCATGACAATGATAGGCCCAGATTCAACTGCACGTATGCGGTAAAATTTTCCTGTCGTAATGCAATTTGAAAAACACATGAAGAATTGCGTGTAGAAC